ATTCCATTTATTGATTATTAACAACCATTACACTACGCAGGCTCCTATTCCATCAGAATATACTCTTTGCATGACATAGATAACAACGACCCACAGTATCATAAATTGAAACCGAACCAGTTTAGCACTTACACCTCTATGAAACAACTACTAGACCATCAGGACATGGGCCAGAGTGTTCACCTCATATCACATCATTTGTTGTTGTCTACTTCCCTAACCCACCCATTGAACGGGACATATTAGCAAACTGGAGTTATACAAATTGCAGGTTGACTGTGGCACTACTCACAACAGAGCGGACAGCCTAACAGAAAATTCTACAGTGTTTCGAGTGGATCCATTTCTAGTATTCTGTCATCCGGTCCATTGCTGGCGTCTCAAACGAAATTTTTCAACTTGCTTTCGATTCTAACATTCTACAACCAACCTGGATGTCGTTGTTCACAATTTTTTTAGAATCGGTTTGAACTTCGGAGACTATTTGGTACAAAAAGGTCATCAGATATTTTTCTATCAATATACCGTACCACCAGAAGACACTAGCATTTCACGAAGATTATGCATACATTACTTGATTTTATTTTTTAAATAAAATATATGATTTTTCATATAATTCATGGTCCACTTCTCATAGCTATCTTGATAGCTTGAAAGTCTCGATTGACTGAGACTTACTATTTATTTCCATGATTTACTTCCTCTTTTCACTAACATTATATGGCTAATTAGGTACTTTGGTCACTATTGTATCATCTATTAGACTGCCTTCATATGGGTTTCCGCGGGTTTCTAGTTCCAATCGAATTTATTTCATCAAGTTATTTTGAGGAATTTTTTCATTAATAAATAGTAAATATAGCCTGTTCCTAAAATTACGTGTATTCTAAATTTAGTATTTCTTAACCATAGTCTCTTGCACCTATAATGCGGAATATTTATACGTTTGGTATTTTGTCGTAAATAAAGTTATGACACATTTAAGTCTCTGTGAAAACTTGTACGTAAAAGATATTGTACATTATATATGATTCTCAAAAGATTATAAAAGTAGGACATTTTATAAGTTGATTATGTCTCTTGGACCAAACGACAGGGAAATTTTGGTTACATGCTCAGATAGAGTTTACTAACGCATAAGCCTGTTTAACATACGCATCAAACTCATGTCCTTGGCATTTAAAATTTTCCTAATATTAACAAAAGCGTCTCAAGATTCTTACATATTTTTTCGGAGTTGTTCCAAAATTTACAAACAAGAATTTGCAGGATAAATTTTAGACACCACAAATTACAAATGTAAATTCAATCCCGTTCTTTTATTCTTTACTTTTCACCAACATTCACCAACATTCATTATTCATCCTATTCATACAATCAAGTCATTCTTAGTTATGGTTAGTATTATCATCGAGTCATTTCCAAAAAATCCAATTCCTTATCCTTCAATCTGCTCCATATTTCATTCATCGTCATTTTTAAGTAAAATTTTCAACCGCCATCATTATAGACGATCACTTTTGAAAACAACATTGAGACAAAGGATACAATTTGGAGACGGTTGGGCTCGATTTCCTGGATCAGTTTAATCTTTTCATACTGAATTACCCATCTGACCAATGGTTAGTTTTGTGTGATGGATTTTTTTATTTGATTTCAGGGAAGAAGGCTTGACCTGATCTGGGTTGGTTGGCTGGGGGATTTTTCAATAGGTGGTCCAAAGTTTCTATGTTCTGAATTAACTTCTTCCTTTTTTTAACAAGTACAATAATTCCCATATGAATCATTCATATATCAATCAAAGACAATCCACTCGTACGTATATCTACATTTAATCAAGTTCTATAGGGGATTGCTGGTATGTTGTTGAAGATATTCTGATTTATTAAAGATGTTCTGATAACTTCACAATAAACTATAGAACTTTTTATTCTTTTGAAGTAGAACCGGTACTTGGTGATCCAAGCTAACATAAGGCAAAGAGCTAGCAGGAAGCTAGGAAGGGGGGCCGCTTTCAAAGCCAAAATTATATCCCTTCGCCTGTCTAAGTGTTGGTTTAATACCTGCTCAATATAAGAAAGACCGATGTCGGAACGACAAGTGATATTTCTTTGATTTTGGCTGGGGGGGGGGGGGGGGGTAAAGGGGGTGTTAAGGGTAT